GGGGGGGGGGGGCGGTGTTACGTGATAGACAGTCCGGTTCCCATTAATTTGCAGAGGAAAGCCTCGTCCTAGATTTTGTCCCACTTACGTCTGGCTAACCCTAACCTCAGTTTGTTCACACCTGCAAAATGGCTAGAAAGTAACTTGGCTAAAAGGTTATTGCTAGGCAAGTTTCTACCTGATTACTACGTGGCATAAAATAGTTCTGAACCCTCCATGTTTGCCCTTGCTGTCTCAATTTTTTATGTAAATTGCTGACGTGTCAGTCTGAATCAAAGAGATACAATTATACACAGAAACTCTATGGAATGGTTATAAGAGGTCCAATAATGCGCCGTGGTAATGTATTCTGTCAGATATGCTTCTGCGCATTTATATCTGGCATGCTTCTTGAGAACGCTCAAATGTCCACTAAATATTTGATTTCTTTTCTTGCTATGAAACATTTCCTGCTTAAAAAAAATAATAAAGAAATAAAGAAGAAACTCTGACGCAGGACACAGCAAGTAACATGAATAATATTTGATGTACTATAAAACAATTCTCAGTGTGTTATATATGGGCTATCGTCTCAAATCTTTAAAAAAATTTAAAACATAAATAAGAAGACTGATTTATTGTGGGCCCTTTTTCTTCAAAATCTGACCTTGGACTATTTGTAAACAGGTGTTGGGGAGAGGTTTACAAACGTTCACACATTACATAAAATAAATCCGTGTTCCTAAAAAAAAAAGGTTGCGCACAGTGTGTGTTTGCGTTCGTGTGTGTGTGTGCGCGTGTGTGTGTGTGTTTGTGTGTAATTGCGTGTGTAGGCATGCGTTTAAACTTGGGTATGGGTATATATATATATATATATATATATATATATATATATATATATGCATTTACAAGTGTCTTGCGTGTGTATGCATGTGTAGGCTATGTGTTTGTGTGTGTCTGTGAGTGAGAGAGAGAGCGACAGAGAGTGCAAATATCCTTTCTTCAAACTGGACATCTTTCGAAAACGATCCCCAATCGCCCCCCTGGGTAAAAGAGCAGATACCGGGTAGAGACCTCATTGCTTCACTCTCAGCATGTGTACGCCGCCAAAGTAGCTTTGATTCAGGGTGGAATAACGTTCTGAAAGTCCATGTGCTGTATACCCTGACGCTTACACAAAGCATTCACACGTAATAAAACAATTAAGCAATACGTACCCGAAACACGCGGTGAAAATCTCATGCTGACGAGCCTTTCAGTTTACAGTGTTATTATGTAATAAAAAGGCAAATAATACATGGTATGTTTATCGCTGAATTGTCTCATTAATAAACAGTGTCTTAATTCACGTAGATATACTAACTATCTTCCTACACCAACATACTCAAGGGAAAAGCAATAATGCATAAATGAAAAAAATATTAAACGCACTAACTTTGGTCACGTAAACAGTGTTCAGCACAAAACTCAATCCACTCCGACACAAGACACTAACATCCTCCTCGCCATTTTCTTCTTATTATTTTATTCTTTTAAGCCAAACTATCCATTTTCACAGCCAAACTATCCGTACATGTTAAACAGGTGGTTTATCAGTAAAGTGTAATTATTTTATCACCCAGCAGTCACATTTTCGCGACACTACACGCTCAGGTAACAACTTGTGCACTTCACTTGAATTTCGACAAGTGCCCCGTGCTCTGAAATGAAGCCTTGAGTGGTTCCCCGACCATCTGTCCTGCGCGTTATATTCCCAGAGCGAGAGAGACGCAGAGCTCTATAAAAGGGGGTTGAAAGGCTCAGAGACATACTTTCGACTACAGAGGTCACCGCGTGAGTATTTAACAAACTTTTAACGACATTAATTTTTATAACAAAACACACCGATCTCGTCTAATATTATTGGGATTGCAGCACTTTTTGGATGTTTTTGCAGCACAAAGAAATTACTTTATCAGAGGCTGGATCCTGATGTTTGCCTAAAAATTCAATTAAATGTGGATAAAAAGATAACAGATTTCTATTTTTAGCCTGTAGAACGAATGAGGTACTAGTAGTATGGTTAAGTTATTGAATTATACAACTTTAAAATTATAATAACGGTTAATAAGAATGGAAAAATGGAGTCGTATTAAATTCATATTAATTTACGTGTTCTCTCTAGATAGATTGATATACATGTATTATACAAACCATGATCTTTGCTAGTTTTCATATTTTCTAGATCAAGATGAAGGCACAACTTTTCGTTTTGATCGCAGCTACTGTGGCTTTTGCCAGCGGAAGAGGTACGTTTGATAAAATGAATAACCTGAAACAATTAAAAGCACTTTGCAGAAGTATATTACTGATTTAAAAAATATATTGGCCGATGAAGCGTGAAAATAGTTCAGTTGGTGCACTGAATTTCAATTCTTGAATATTCTGAATATTTCAGCACCTGTGCTGAGGGCTGCTCGCAGTAGTGACGTAGCCGGAGACGGAAGGACGTACATTGTGAAAGTGAAAGACAATGCCGACGGTGAGTATCGCTGTATTGATTGTCAGCGTTCTATGACCACTCTCTCTCTCTCTCTCTTTGCGTGTGTGTTTGTATTTGTGCGAATCTCTGTGTATATGTGTGCATTTGTGTGTGCCCTTTCTGTGTGCACGTTAACTTTGCATACCACATATTTTCGTGAGATCCACGTTTTTTTTAAAGAAAACGCAACATCAAAATCATTACACATGGAGAGAGAGAGAGAGAGAGAGAGAGAGAGAGAGAGAGAGAATAAAAAGTCATATTTTTAATAAGCGGATTAACAAATTATAAAACACGTTAACATATGATCATACACATAAAAACGTATGGCTCACTATTTCTTTCCCCCAGTGAACCGTGTCATCATGAGAGGACGTGTGGTACTGAACAGACTGATGGCTTCCGGTGAGGAGCCCTCCGACGCCGACGTCGGCAGCAGGAAGATGGAAATCGGGAACGCCAAGTTCTTCACCATCCACGCTAACTCCAGGTGAATAAAATACTAAAATATTTAATTCTAGAAGGAACGAGGCATTTATTTATTTATTTATTTATTTATTTATTTATTTATTTATTTATTTATTTCAGCAATCCTTCCGTTTATGTAAATAGTTCAATAGAGATAATTCAAAAAGTTAATTTTCATAAATAAATGGATACATATACTTATTGATAAATAAATATATCAATAAATCAACTCAACGATTCATTGATGTATCAGTTTGGTTAAGCAGGGAAAGTACTTTTATTGGTGAATTTTGAATTAAAATTCCCAGGCTCCTGGAGGCTCTTCAGGATGACGATGACATCGAGTTTATTGAACAGGACACGTTGCTGTACGCGGCAGCTTGCGTCCCTATTGACAACAGCGGCCTCTGGGTGAGTGCGTGTAATTGTGTTCAGATAATGAGGCTAAACCTAGAGAGGTGCACACCAGCAGCACGGGGCACGTACATGTACTCCCCCCCCCCTTAGATTAAGAAGCCCTCCCCCCTCTCGTCCTTCCCTGCCAATAAATGGTACATGTAAAAACGAGCGAACAAAATCCAATCAATTTCTCTGTCCCTACACGGCATGCTTTAAAAAGTATATTTTTCGTTTTAATTGGGATATTTCATATTAACATGCAAGATTATCATGTAAACATGAAGAGGTTATTGGTGTGTCTTTATACCCTCTCCTGATCAAAATCCTGGATCCGCCAGTGGATAAATATCTATAATGCCCGAGCATAAATCTTACGGCTTGCGGGCCTCGTTTACCCACATGATACGACCAATACGACCATTTACGTGGACCAAGTGTAGTAGTGTTAGTTTGCGTCTTCATTATTTAGACTCTGAAAGAATTTAATCATTTTTGATATCTATTATTATTATTATTATTATTACCAAACTTGCAACCCGAGGGTTGGATAAATACAATCATTGCATCATAGTTGGATAAAACCATTAGTAAGTAAGAATAGAGGAATATTAAAAGACATACGTAAGCAAATTTAAAACAAAATATCTAAAATGCAAGGTTTAAAAAAAATAAAAAATAAAAGTCTATCAGTTAATTCTATTTCGATCAAGTTGCGGAAATGATGAATAAATCAAGAGATAAAAATGCCCAAGCTTTCGGCATTTAGATCTTTGCCAGGGACTTGTATCGAGTAAACAATCTCGAGCCTTAAACGTTAATGATATAATTATGAAATGAGAATTACGCATTTTTTATGAACCGTAAATGACACGTATGTAATTTTTATAACTTAAGGGTCTGGACAGAATTGACCAGAGATCAGGCACCCGTGACCAATGCTTTGACCCAGTAGGTACGTGACTATTAACACAGTGTGTGTTAGACCTTTATAAGTTTATATATTTATATGTTAAAAATGTAGAAAAAAATCAGCAATTTTTTCCTTTGTCTCAAAGGTGCCTATTCAAAACCGTTGAGAAAATTACAATCGGCAAAGATGTTTTAGAGATTGATTTTAACGTCCCGAGATTATCGTTTTGTTTCTGAGTTAATCAGTTGAGGTACATGTCCATGTAGGTAGGGGTTCACTGGCCCCGAAAATACCTCTAACCTCTCTCTGTCTCTCTTTCTCTCTCTCTCTCTGATCAACATTTTATATTTGTTATTCAGGAGACGGAGCGGGTGTCGATGCCTTCATCCTTGACACGTAAGTGTAACACTGAATTATTTCCAAAATTATATTTAGAAACGTTTTATAACCTTCAGCTGTTCGGGTGCAGCCTGAGTCCAGATGTCTGTCCGATGACCAGCAAGTCAAGCTCAAAATGTGCTCAAAGACCAATGGAATAAACATTGCCTTGCGGAAAATTTTGTTTCAAAATTAAAAATATGTTGTCTGCATTTGATATTGGTATAAACACAGTGAAAGTATGGTTTAAAAGGTTTTGACATTATTTTATTCAAATCCCACCGTTGCTTTAATTGATGTAATGTTTTTGATGTAATTTGATTAACTATCACCGCATGTTAAGATTGAGATGAAAAAAAAAAATAGTCGCCGTCAAGGAAAAGCCGAAAATCCAATATCCTAACGACAGTACAAATACAGTGGCACATATTCAGGCCGTGTTAAAGACCTTTGATTGAACTACACATCTGTTCCTGTAGATGTCCAACATTTATTTCGTTTCAACATCATACATGTAGAGCACATAGGATATTAAATGAGAAGGGGTGACAGATAACTGGGAATATCACATTTTAACTTGCAGCGGTATTGACGTGGCTCACAGTGACTTCAGGACTGGCAGGGCTGTCGACTTCAAGGACCTTTACGTATGTGATCTAAACTCATCTAATACATATATGTTTACTCATGGCATTGTCTTACACATATTGCTTAATAAATTTCATTACAAATTTTTAATATTTAAAACAAAATGCTCATATGAGCTCGAGAAAAAGTTAACAATGACATTTCTACCTATTTATTAAGAGAATTGGTCATTCCTTTGAGGTAGTATATACACACTTTAGTCTTAAGTCTATTGCTAGGTCAATAGTCAACAGTGTATCTAGTATTGTGAAAACTGTTTCTATTATACCTCCAGAGCGCTTTCAGCGAGCCATACGGCCCCAGCTCCAGTGACGGCAACGGTCACGGGACTCACGTCGCTAGTAAGATGATCCTTCATTACTTCTAAAAAGTACAGTCAGGCCAGCAGTTTGTTATTTAATTAGGAAAGCTACTGTATAAGTACAGTACAACGTGAATTGCGTGATCAGCAAATATATAACGTGGAACTGCAAAAAAAAAAAAAAAAAAAAATATATATATATATATATATATATATATATATATATATATATATATATATATATATATATATATCTTGTGTGACGCTTATCGGACACACACTTTTCTAGTAGGCGTGCTATCTGTTTAAAGCGTTCCTCATGGGAACTCAGATATAACTTTCATATTAAGTAAGCAAATTCCACTCGTTAAGGTCATACCCTATTTGCAACATTAATCACGACATCACTTAATTTTCCAGGTACTGTTGGTGGCAATACCATGGGCGTGGCCAGAGCTGTCAATCTAGTCGCCGTCAAAGTTTTGTCTGATCAAGGAAGTGGAAGTACAACGTATGTGCAATTTCGTCATCAAATTATTTGTAATCCTTCATTTTTTTATTTCGCACCAGAAAAGCTGTTTTTATTTTGAGAGTTTGAAATAAAATCTCATTCAGTAAAGGTAGTTACAGGTGGGCTCATAAACTCATAGTAGTAAGATCATTAGGCATATTAGGAATAACACTGAAAAACACGTGTTATCGTCCATGTAAGGAATGTCAAAACACATCTTTTGTTTTAAATGTTAACGTATACATATCGGGTGCTAAGAAACTGGGGGTAACAGACCCCGCGTGCCCTCCATTTGATTCATACAGGCTAGGGTTAGCGTGACGCACTGAAAGTGGGTCAAAATCTAAGACTGGGCTAAATCAATGAAATCCGGATTCATTGTCATGGAGTCTCTCTTGTTTTCTCTTTGATTTACAAACTGAAAAAAAAAAAATAATACCGGGATCACTTTGTCCGAATCTTTGAGTTAAACCGTGTGAGTAACGAAAAAGTCCCCGTTATAAAGCTTATAACTTTAATTTTTTATTATTTTATTCTTTTTCGTGAACAGTGGTATCATTGGGGCAATTGAAGACGTGGTAGCGTATGCTAGAACCTCCAATCGCAAAGGAGTCATCAAGTAGGTCTTTTTTAAACTTGTAAAATATTTGTGAAAATTAGATTTATAATTTTGGGATCTTCACGATTTCATTTAAATCTCATCTGGACATTTCGTTATAATAACTGAGATCAGTTATCAAGTGTGTGTCTTTTTCAAATACATTTCACACATTTTGCAGCATGTCGCTCGGCGGCACCGGAAGCAGTATCAATGCCGCATCAAATGCAGCAGTGCAAGCGGTAGGTTTCAAAAACTTATTCGAAGTCAGTCGGAATATGACGGACTTGTCAGTGCAGATGACATTTAGTTGAGGAGCATGTGAATACAAATGATTATCAATCATTTTACTGTATAAAGATTTGCCTATAAGTGCATTTTGTGTTTTTTTTTTGTAAAAGACCAAAATATTTTTTTCCATTCTCTTTTCCGTTAGTTGCTAACATTTGTGAATAAGTTGCACCTGTATCGCATAAAAAGACGCGGATAATATTTCAGACCAGTTTGCATGTTACGTAAATGTTTGTGCAGTGCAGTTCAATATTTAACGTTAATGTTCTATAGGCCCTACTAGTAAATATTTTTACCAATCACAGGGCGTGACTGTTGTTGCTGCGGCCGGTAACTCCAACGATGATGCGTGCGGCTACTCCCCGGCTGGTGCTAGTGAAGTGTAAGAACATATATTTACTATACTACAGTATCAAAGCGCGGACAATTCATTTAATATAGTTTGTCCATATATCTTTAAAAACTGTAAAAGCTTAAAGCTTGCCACATGTTATTCTCAACGCAGTTTTGCTCAGAGTGAACTATCTGAAAAATAAGATTTTCCCATTTTCCAGTGTCTGTGTTGCGGCCAGTACAAACCAAGACGCCAAGGCTTCTTTCTCCAACTACGGCTCTTGTGTTGACATCATTGCCCCTGTGAGTATGAAGTAATGCATTCAACTATTTCTATTACTGTAAAAATGTTCTCATTTGACAGTTTTCTCAGCGTTGATAATCTTATAAAAGATTATTTTACGAGAGTTAGATATGGGAAAAATCGCTCTGTCATGCCCTCAATCTCCAAATACCAACAGAATATGCAAATCCATAAACCTGAAAACGATTTATGTAGACAGTGTACCCATAGTGACGGGAAAGAAATGTAGAACCCTGACGTTGATCTAAGTAAGCTAAAATAAAGTTCGACATTTACCTGTATGATGGACCCAAGAAAGGGCGCATTAGACCGGTACCTCTCCTTCAGTCCTGAAGCACCTCTCTCTCTCTGACCCCCATCTCACTCCCCCTCCACTCGCAGATGTATAAGTAGACGAAATAAAACCAAACCCCTTTCCTTGTGTCCGACATATTGTAGTGTAATTGTCCTCGTCTACTGTTTTAAAATGTCCAAGTGAAGCAGCTCAAATGTCTTTGTCATATTGTGTCCCCCACCCTCCCCTTACAAAACGTGGACCGCCTCTGACTTACAGTTAGTTGATCTTAACAATACCTGTTGCAGGGCCAGTCCATCTTAGGAGCTGACGCCAATTCCGGAAGTGGATCTGTCAGCTTGAGCGGTAATCTCTCTCTCTCTCTCTCTCTCTCTCTCATCACTAACCTTAGAATACACCATGATCTCTCTCCTCCCCCCCTCTCTCTCGCCTTCCTCTCTCTCTCTCTCTCTCTCTCTCTCTATCTTTCTCATCACTAACCTTAGAATACACCATGATCTTCCTCTCTCTCTCTCTCTCTCTCTCTCTCTCTCTCTCTCTCTCTCTCTCATACAGTGCATCCGATAATTCATAACACGGTGCACTTAAAATCCAAAAAGGGTAGCGATCAAAATTGTTTTGGTTTAAAAATATGAAATTTGGTGACATTTTCTCCCTCAGTAGAAAGTAACCAAACTCTTTTTATACTCTCAGCGCGACGAGACGAAATGTTTGGCTAGCAATTAGCTTTTGGGAGCGATACATTTGAAGTTTTTGGGAGGTTTCTTAAGTTTAATCGACTATAGATGGTTGAAATACTTTTGGAAGGTTTTATATGTAGCTTTATATATTTTAGGTACATCTATGGCTGCCCCACATGTGGTAAGTACATGTATAATGAAAGAGTATAACACATATGATACACATATACCGGTACATATGAAAATATCGGATTACGTTAGTTGGTGTGATTATAAGCGTTATATATGTTTGTGACCCATTGTTCTTTAAAGATTCATTTGAAAAAAAAAAAAAAAAAAAAAACAGGTCGTGTATGTGTATTTTCAGCGTCATTGTAGTTGCATCACATTTCTCACGATTCGTTGTAAATGCAGAACTGCAGCTGTTGCTACTAGTACAATAAGAAATGTAACTTTTGCTTTATGAATGCGTACACTTAAAATTTGGGTTTAGACGCTCTCACATTTTCACAAGCAGGATCTTAGGGTTATTAGTCTAGTTAACACCTCGTACACTTTTTAAATATATATTCAAAAAACTGAAATTTATGAAAAAAGGTTTGGTCTTTTTCCAGGCTGGAGCAGTAGCCTTGTTTTTGGGCAGCTCACCGAATGCCACCCCTGATGACGTGAAGTCTTGGCTTTACGACGGGTGAGATACATTTATATCTGTTTTGTGTCGGTGACACATATTTTGTGTAAGATTTGTAGAAATGTTTAGTATTGAATAAACTAAATTAACAGAGCTAAGGCAACCATTGTTTAATCATCTGTTTAATCTTGAACTTGATATTCAAGATAAAGACAAGTAAATAGAAGTTAAATATTTTAAAAATTCACTCATTTATATGTTATTATTATTATTATTATTATTATTATTATTATTATTATTATTAATGATAAAAACTTATACATCAGAACCGACACATAATATTTAAAAAAATATTTCTACACGACTACAAACATCATATCTAAAAGATGAAATCGAAAAATGTTCATCATTCCAGAGCAACCATGGACGTCATATCCGGTTTCCCCGGAAGTACACAACCAACAACAGCGCCACCTGAACACATCTGTTGTGCCCTTGACTGGGACTTCTGCTGCCCCTCGTCCTTGGTTAGACCTATGGCCACACCAAACAGGTTCCTCTTTGTTGGAAGTGACGGTTCCAAATAGTCCCAAGGCTCGGGACTTGCCCGGAGTGCTTAAAAGACAACACGAATAAAATCTAATGTGTTATGAATTGCTAAAGTGACTGAGATTTATTGTTTCATTTTTGGTTGATTGGGTGAATAAAAATTGCTTGGAGTCGATTTGTGTTATATTGAACTTGCTGTGCCGATTTTGCCTTCATTTGTGGTTATACATATGTGGGGTTGCTGAAATTATATTCATTTTCTAACAATATCATCCAAAACATCTTTTGGCTAGCAAACTATATCTTAAGCCATCTGATATCAAATGAATATTATATTTTTTCTGTGAGCAGATGTATTACAACAACAACAACAACTACTACTACTGTACTGCTACAAGTACAGCTACTACTTCTACTACTACAATAGTTGCATGTTTCTAAGTACGATTTTACAGAAGAAAATAAAGATAAAAAGCAATAAGAAAGATACAGTAAAAAAAGGGCATTTAAACAGAGGGCTGTACCTCAGGTTTGAAAACTGAATTTAAAGATCAGCCCCACGTTACTGTTATATCGATCACTTTTCTATCAACTGCCTCGTTCAATTCACTTTCACTAACTGCAAATTAATTACTTAAATAAATTCAAATAAGAAAAATTAGCAAGTTATTAACAGCAAGCATGCTTTTCTTTAAAATGCATTGGAAGCGAGTTGACTGTTAAATCATTGCCTATATAAACCCAAATGTCACCGTATAATTTCAAATAGCGCAACTGAAAGAAATCATAAGGGTATCGATTAATATATCTTGTAACGTATATTCTGCTTTTTTCTATGTTTTGTATAAACTTCGGTCGTAAATTTCCACCAACTCTAAATAATCTTGCTTTTGCGCGCACAGCAATAACGCACGTCCATTTCTCTATCATTAGGCGGACTTTTACGAACTGGAGAGATAAGCCAAATTGACTACTAGAAACTTCAAGAAGGTGAAGGCTCTTTTGGCAGACAAAATAATTGACTTGATTTTTTTGGGTGGGGGGGGGGATTGTGCAATTTATTTGAGTAGTAATCTGGCAGTAATTTTTTTATGCCTCAGAGGGATTCTACATCATATATAACTTCAAGTCAACGATTGCAAAAAATGTTTTCTTATTTGGCAAGAATGGAAAATGTCAATGTCAGGTAACGTTTTAGTTGCATTGACTGGTTAGTTTCATGAAAAAAAAAAGTGATTTGCCAGAACCTTTGTAACTGCTTCAAACTAGTCTTAGGGAATTTTCCAACTATAATGTATTACAGATGATATTTTGGATATCTAATTGTAAGTGATGTAAACAAGACTCAAATTGATTCCATAATAAAGAAATAATAAAAATGTTGATTAGCAAATAAAAATGGAAGCTTCTTATGACCACACAAAAGATAATGTACAGAAAATATGCAATCCGCACAGTGAGATAGAACATAAATACCTTGGATAAAAATAAATTGGTGAGCATACGTTTGAAAGTGTCAAATCGTTGTTGTTGTCGTCACTATATCCACTATGAATCCAACTTTCGTTTGCTTTATACATGTATATTAATTCTGTATCTGTTTGTTACTTGGTCCACTCCCAACGGTTGTTACAAAGAATTCATTAAAATGCCAATATAACATATTCTCAACATTATTGTCTAATTTAAGTGCGTATAAAGAATTAAAAAAAAAATTGTCCTTCATGGATCACTACTGGAATAGTATCCCTGCTTGTCAAATGCATCTGTCATCCTGCGTTAGTTTTATCTTGAACGATTTTTAGCGAACGTGCCACGTGTGAAACTCCTTACATCGTTATCAGTAAGGACCATTAACCAGTTTCACAAATGAACTCGGTCCGGAAACTGCTCTCAACTTTTCAGCCAACAGTTTCGTCAGCTTTGTACACTAGATAAAGAAAAAAAGTCGTCCAGATAGATCTAATATTGTGCCTGTTTTCTAACAAGAAAACGTGGTGAACACTTAAGGCAAATGCATACTGAATTTAAGCAGAATGTGGATCCAACAGAACCAGGCCATATTTTAGGTCTAAAAGTTAGAATCCCATGCCTACGTTCGTTTGTGAAACTGTCCCAAAATTATTATCAGACAATTACAAACTGAGTGCCAGCGAAAGCACCAATTATAATCCTTAGGTAGGATCTGCATCCAAACAAGTGTGCTTCAACATTTGATGGGCTATAAAGTCGCACTTAGGGCATCTGACGGCGGCACGAAGTTCCCAGGGTGAGAGGGGTTCCATACTGTATAAAAGGAGAGCAAAATGTGCGCAGCAGCAGATTCTGGTCCTAGGACACTGAGAACCGTGAGTATTCTCGAAATGGTTTCAACGTGATAATAATTCGTTGTTCGAAATAACACGGAGAGGGGGATATTATTGCCCTTTCCTCCGGTTTTTGTTACCTTTTTAGACTTTTTTCTACAAGGGTGTCGAAAGTAGCAGTGTTTTGAGTAACATTTCACGACTAACACGAGCGATTCAAGTAACGGGGATTTGTTGCTCTTTCTGTTTACATTTACTTCAAATATTTGCAGGCATGTCAGAGTTTTGCCCTGTTTCATGCAAGCTTTAGTTCGGCAAAATCGAAAGTGTCTTGTATAACTGATTGATTCCGATTGGCATTTCTTTTTTACATGTTCATTTTACCTGGCTTCCTTGGGGTTTGACTTAACCCACGTACGCACAGTAAAGTTTGTTTTTATTTTTCATAATTTAGAAGAAGATGAAGGTCCAACTTTTGTGTTTGGTCGTTGCCTTTGTAGCTGTTGCTAATGGCAGAGGTGAGTTCCACAGAATGTGACATGTGTTAGTCGTTTTTTCTGTTGTTACCGGTGGCCAATTTGTCAGGTGCGTTATATACTTTAAGCATCAAAACGCACAGTACCTAATTTGACGCCGTTATAGCCAGAGTCACTGTTTTTCCCTTAATCTTTTTTTCGTCATTTATCTTTTTTGTAACCCCGTAGCACTGCCAATTAACGTTAAGGCAATTTACGTTTCATTTATGTATGTTTGATATGAATCTTTCATGTACCGGTGGCTGCATGCACTGAAGTACAAGTGTTTCTTTGCGTCATTATAGGCCTACCATTAACTTCCAGTTGCATAGGTTTCGTGATCTTGAAGTGGCGAAAAATTCGTCGCTTTCACGAAAAACATCGATCATACATGCTTGTCAGTTCAGCTTTATAAATATTTATAACAAATATTTTGACACTGGGACAACTTTCAGCCCCTGTGCTGATGTCATCACGCAGTAGAGATGTAGCCGGAGACGGAAGGACGTTCATTGTGAAAGTGAAAGACAATGCCGACGGTAGGTGCCACTTTATTGACTATTAACGTTCCAGGACAGACCTGTATGTGTTTAACGTTTGCATTGGAATGGTATTATATTTACATTTTGTGAAGGGAGAGAGAGAGAGAGAGAGAGAGAAAGAGAGAGAGAGAGGTAAACATGGTAACACGGAAGGTGAGAGGAAGTAACAAAATATCTGGTTGTAAATATATCGTAGCCAAAACGAGGACAATTTCTCGTGTAACGCAGGAAGAAAATTGTGAACGTTTCTTGGATTTTAACTCCTTTCACCAATTCCTTACACTGTTTTTGGGGTACGGAGGGTAAAGAGGGTGCCTCACGAGATTCACGTGCAAGCTGTGGCCCTGTGGACTCGCCAATGTCATTAAAGATGGCTCCAATGTGATATTAATATTTCTACATTTTCCTACCCCCAGTGAACCGTGTCATCATGAGAGGACGCGTGGTACTGAACAGACTGATGGCCGCAGGTGAGGAGCCCTCCGACGCCGACGTCGGCAGCAGGAAGATGGAAATCGGGAACGCCAAGTTCTTCACCATCCACGCTAACTCCAGGTAAAGAGAAATAAAAAGTTCTACATAGTATAAAGGAATGAAAATAAATGTTCTTGTCTATTCATTCAATTGTTAGTCGGTCAGCTTGTTTTTATTGTTATGAAATACGGAATGTAGTGAGTACAAGCTCAATAAAAAAGGAGGCTACCCTAATATGCTTAATATTTTTACCAGGCTCTTGGAGTCTCTGCAAGATGATGATGACATTGAGTTTATTGAACAGGACACATTGCTGTACGCTTCCCGAGTGGCTACTAACCTATGGGTGCGTAAAACCCCCTTAACAGTGGACGGCATCCTCTCTGCGTCCTGTAGTATGGCCCCGTTTGAGAGCAAAAATAACAATAATAATAATAATAATAAAACTTTACGTGCCGACAACTGGCCGGTCATTGAGCATTCATTCTGCAACCGAAGCGATGCGTGTACCTCCTTTCTACGACCACAGCGATGCCAGTTTCATGGTCGCACAAAGGACACAGAAAGGACCCGGCCGCCAGTGTAAAGGGAGGTTTAAGACTGGGTTCCCACAGATCTGGATCGACGTAACTCCCTTGGGGGTTCACGCTAAATTGCTGTCAGCTTCCGGGAGAGTCCCCCCTAGGGCGCAGCAGTTAGGTCGATAAATTCATCGAGAAAGGGCTCTTCGACTTAATGCAAGTCATCTTTATTTCCTAATGTCCAAAAAAAAAAAAAAAAAATGCATGTCTGATCTGCTTCAGAGAGCATGAAAATAGGCAGCAGCAGTTATGTGTAAGATAAGTGTGTGCACTTTACATGATTTACCCTCTTTAAATAAAATGTATTATAATTATTTAATTATTATTATTATTATGAATGACTGTACTTTCTGACTACAGGGTTTAGACAGGATCGACCAGGTGGAAGGCAATGGCGACGGATATTTTGATGTAAATGGTATGTATTGGCACGTTTGGGTCAATTCAATGGACGTCATCTTAGCTGGCTTTAGATAATTTGCAATTTTTAAGTCAGTGATGATCAAGGGTATTTCCTTCGGCTTAATATAAGTTCTTGTATTTTTTATAAATGGCAAGTAATGCACTTTGATGTTATGGTTTTCTTGTTATTGTTGATAATTAAAATTTGCGTATGTTGTTGAATTTTGTAAAATATTATGGAACCTTAAAATTAACAAAAGAAGATCATTATTATTTGCTTGGCGAATTTTTTGAAGCACTACCTTTAAATATTTTACAAAATCGTTAATGGTTTATATCTGTAATTCA